AGTTGTAGATGAAGTAGATAAAGAAATTGATGATGATGATGAACATGAAGATGATGATGATGACGACGACGACGATGACGATGACGAATGATGATGATTATTATTAATAATATGTAAATGAAGATAAAGATAGATAATGGGTTAATTTAATTTATACGACTCATTATAAATCCATATCAGTATTTTGAATGTTGATTAAGAAGATACTTTAATAATAAGTTACTTCAGTCAATTCGTAACAATTATATATAAAAAATAATATAGACAGCTTTTAAATATTTCCTGTATAAAAAAATAAGTTTTTAAAAATAAAATTTTTACGGTTATTTGTCATTATTACTTCCCGTTTAGGGCAGCGTTAAAAATAAGAAATATATCTTTAATGCGATAACCCAAGATCACATGGCGTATATCGCTGCAAAACATATGTAAGTGCTTATTATGGATTGATAATCAAGCATTGAACGTAGTAAATGTTCTGTGGCTATTGTAATTGCAAAAATAAAATTATTACAAAAAATGTAAAACATGCAAACATTTCAATAGAATTTTCGGAAAGCGGTCTGCACCAAATGTTACTTTTGAAGAATTCTCTGTTTTTCTTGTCAATATTAAATCCAAATCACTCTAGATCCTCGAAAAATTTTAATAAACCACAATAAATTGCCATTCAGTTATAATAGAATTAGAAGGATTTTGAATTTCAAGAATTAGATTATAACTAGTTAAAATATGTCGATTTTGAAATGATTGGATAAATTGAAGATTAATACATTGAATTGCATTAATGCAGAATGAAATTTTAACAGAACCAAAAAATCCATATTTGACGATCAAATTATCACAAAGAAATTCAAATGAGGTTATTAATACCTATTTATGAAATCTAATCAAGAATTACTGAATTTTAAGGTTAAAGTTAACCAGAAATTGAATGCTGATCTAATATATTAGGTGAAAGTTTAGCAACAAACACATTAGTAGATTGGCAAGCCTTATTCTTTTTCTTTTCTTTTTCTTTAATTTCTTCAGTCTTATAGTAATGCTAAGAGATCAATCTTTATTAATCATTTTATTGCATTGGAAAATCCATAATTTATCATGAAAAAGTTGAATAAGGTGATTTATAGTTGAATATAGAATAGCGGAAGTGTTTGAAGATGAAATAATAATCACAATAAATGAAAGAGTTCAGCAGAATTAATTCTATTGTTAATAAACTAAAGAAATCAAAGTTTAATTGAAGGTTAAAATAATGATGAATTCTAGACTATAGATATAAATAGAGAATAGTGCTCTTTGTTTAAATGAAAAAGTTTAGCAAAAATCAATCCTTTTGTTAATAAACTAAAGGAATCAAAGTTTGATTGAAGCTAAACAATGATGAATTTTAGACTATATAGATATAAAGAGAGAACAGCATTTTTTGTTTTTTTTCCAATTGTCAATAATAAGCTGATTCAAGAAATTATATAAGAGAGATTGAAGATCAATGATAATGGCTTGGTTAGCTGAACAAATTCACAAATGATTAAGATATTTTTCTGCAATATCACAAGTAACATAATGACAATTAATATATAAATCAGGCTATCTAATAATAAGTTTGTTTAAGTTTAGTAATTCAATAAGTATCTTGGTTTTGAAAGTCTTTTTATATCAAATAGTAGTTATTTTATAAGAAATAGAGCAATATTTACTGAAAATATATATTTTTTGTTTTTTTAGATTTTTTTTATATATGAAAATCATGTGATATGACCTTATTTTAACTATTGCAACTTTCATTTTGATTTTGATCTCTAAAGTAGAAATATTTCAATTTTTAGGTTTTTATTTCAACTTCATATAAAAAATGTTGATAATAATTTTCCATACAAGTTACAAATTTAAACTAAGAATTCCATTTAGTTTTAATAGGTAAAGGAGGTAAATTAGCTGATAAATCTTTATCAAATAAACTTTTATTTGTATTTAAAAGAACAGATTTGAAATTAAATGTTCTTTTTATCTTTTTCTTACTGCTGGGTATATAAATAAAGTTTTAATATATTTTGCTACAATATCTAATAATTTAAAGTGTTTAAAATCCATCCGAGTTTCACCAATAAGATTATAAATTTGAGTAAAACATATGTTATAAAATAAGTGTGGTATTAATAAAAATAAAATACTGATAAATGTTTTTTTTTATATAAGATGCATCATTACTAATAAAAAATATTAAATTGGTAAAAGGAATATTATAGGAATAAATATTATTAACAAAAGCTTGTATATTGTTATATAATTTACAGTTTCTAAAAAAAAATGGTATTTACTAATTTAGTTTTATTATGAAAACTAAATTAAGCACACTTCTTTCACAACTATCTGTTGTTTTATCCATAGTTACAGAAATTCTATGATTAGATAACTCATTCATTAATATATTTTTGCTGATTCAAAAACAGCTAGAAGATATCTTTCACATAGATGATTTGCATTAACAATAGCTCCTCCTTTAATTTTTAATTATTAAATATTTAAAACTAAAAAACAAATATACTGTAGATAAAAAAATCTTACTATTGTTGCAATAGTTTAAAAAAAAAGGTTTAAGATTCTTGATTTTTTCAAGTGAAATATCAGCTTTGGTAAATGCTTCAACAAGATGTATATTAATTTCTTAATTTTCTGATCTAATATGATAAATACTTGGTATTGTTGTTTGTAAAGCTTCAGCACCATTTAAATGAGTTGGTGAGTTTATATGAGCTTATACAACAGACTTGCATTCATATTTAACTATATGATTGTAAAATTTACAGTATAATTTTTTATTTCTAGACGAAAATGTTGATAATCGCTCAGATGCCATACCATTTTGTAAAAAATAAGATGCAGATGATCGATTAAAATTTATTTCTTAAATGGTAAATACAATAAAATGCAATATAAGGTCACGTGAAATATGCAAAAAATGATGAAATTGCCAAAAGTGCGATGTACTCCCGATTCGTTAGGATGCCTGATATTAAAGTTTTTATTTTTAAATAAAATAAATATGCTAAAATATTCTTAATAATATTCTAACATCTAAAAATATTTTTATGTATTCAAAAGCTCTCATACTATTGATATTCCTGCAATATTAAGCAATCCAAAATTTTTTTTATGCTATAATTTAGATAGAAAAGATGTTCATTTTTTTTTTAATTTTTATTGATCAGTTGCCTTTAAATACATCTGTACATCTGTAGCAAACATCTTCAATAATAAATTCAGTTAACTCGTCATATGACTCTTTCGCTTTATTATTTAATAATTCAGTCAGTCTTAATATGAAAAAAGCATATAAACAATTATTTGATATTTGCTAATACAACCTGTTCATGTATTATTATCTTAATTTATTTGGCAAGATTTATAATGGAAATATGAAATTTGTAGTGATAAGTGTTATACTATTCTTTATGCAATGAACTTAATCTACAAGTCAGTTTTAGCATATATGTATATTAGTACATCCATCCTAATACTGAAAATACCTACGTTATGAGGAGTGACGGAATTATCATGAACGCGATCTGTTGTATCCAATTGTTATTTTGCTCAATAATCTTTCACAGCTTTCTATAGAATTAAATCCTGAGCCATAGTCAAATTCGTATGGCTTCTTAAATTCTTTATAATCAAACATTTGTCCTATTAATTGGTTAGCTGAATTTACTCCACCATTAAAATTATTGATTAGAATTTCAATTGACCAATGACATATTTGACGAAAAACTCCCATTTTTAATCCTTTTCCTCCATAAAGGGTGAAAAAAAAATATCTCAACATATATAATTTGAAGTCGTACTGACTATCTCAGATTGAATTTTTCCAAACAAAACGAAATAAATTCTGAATGTATCATATTTGGTATTTTAATTGTCATGCCAAGCTTCATTAGCTGAATGAAACAATCCGAAAGAGTGGTTATCTTATATTTTAAAGCAGTTAAATTCGGTTAGTAATTTTAATCAATTCTTCAACTTCCAGCGAGTCTTATAATATCCCTTTAAACCACCTCTATCGATAAGATTATCATATTCTTAGAAGCATGAAGATTCCATTCTTTTCGATTGATTGCCTAACATTGACTCGATTATTTGCTCCTATCCTATGTCATCTTTCAACAGCAAACTTAATTCAGTGGTCACGTTATCAGATAATCTCTTCAGAAATGGATAGACATTTTTAGCAACGCCATATATTTTTCCATTTTTTTTGGCGTCTGAAATCAGGCTTCAATACAATTCATTGTTTATTCCCAAGATCAGTGTAGATGGTTATATAAGGCTCATTTCGTTCCATTGCATCATTAAATAAAAGATGACCTGGAGGTTGTTCGTTGCAGTTTGCGGATAATTCTGATCGGTTGAAGCTTGAAGATTTTTGACCTCTATTATATTATACGACATCTGAATTCCCTTGTAATATCATTAAACTAAGGAAATTCAGAATAAAAATGTCTGCATATTCTTGATACTTCTTTAAGAGTATTGCTGAGCCACGTCGCCAATAGCCAAACAACGGCTTAATTGTCTCAAAGGTATATGTTACTGATACGAAGTTCGTTATCGATATCAAATGTTTCATTCATACCAACGTCATCTACGTCGCTCAAACTCCAAAACATTTGAATTATTCCACATCTACTGAATCGATTTCTTCTAGTAAGACTCTGAGAATGTTGAAGGATCGCAACTGCGCATATTTTTCTGTTCTATCTCCTATTGATAGTTCGTGAACTATTCTTAGAGTTCAGCGACCGAAAATGGGAAGCTTTTCTGAGAAGGCTTATCTACATTGAGGTATAGTACAAGAAATTCCCTTTGATTGTTGTATCTGTCTCAGCAAGCGAGTCTTTCCTGTTCCAGAACTTTGAAACAAAGTCACATATGGAGAATAATAACAGTGCTATCATAAAATGCTTGGTACTATTCTTGAATATGCTGACAAAAATTGGTCGATGACCTCTTTACCATTAAACACCAGGTTGAAACTACGTTTCCAAAGTTGGATTGACATAAAACTTGCAGGACATAAAGCTGTTTTCTTAGACTCGTTACTAATGTTAAATTATCACGAATGTCAAGATATAAGGAATAATAAGATACAACGCAAACAGAAAATCTGACACTCCATAAAGTTGAAAACCTGATATGAAAGCTTTCTTACCTTTTGATTCATTATATTTTTGCAATGTAGATATTTTTTTAGAAATCCATGATACAAAAAAAATAATTTCGATATGAAATTTATATTTTCATTCGTCCCAGAATTTTCACCCCCACATGACATGCACAATTTTCATCTCGTGTATTTAATGAATTTGATTGGATAAAAATGGCATGGTTAGTGTTGAATCACATTTAGTACGGACTTTAAAAATTAGTGATTATACATTAAAAAAATAATAAAAATAATAAAATAGATTAATTACGAGATCCGATTTCATTGTAAAATACTTAATGTTAAATTCAATACTGCCTACGTGTCTAATTGCTTCAAAAAACCACTTATTTTTACTCTTAACGCTAATAAATACAGAATATTAATGAAAAGAAATTACAATAATTGAGAAATAACAATGAAAATGTGACTCGCAAAAAAATTTCATATCCATGAACTAATTCTTTTATTTTAAAATATCTTCAGTTCATTATTATTTTCATCAACATTTCTTTTAAGAATGGACGATTATTTAGTTCGCGATCTATATATTTGATTTCAGAATTTCAATGGATTAAGCGAAACGTATATTGTAAGAATAAAAGAATGTAGGTCGTCTGCTGGTAATGGATGAGAGAATCAGCGAGTGAATTTTTTCTAAACTTGTAGAAGCTCTCTCACATGACTGGCCTGAAATCGTGCTTACAAACTTGGTAAGTTATAATATTTTTATCATCATCTCTGTGTGTGATGTAACATATTCTGGAATGTTCTGGACATTCAATCGTTCAAAATTTTCAACTCGACAGTAGGATATTTATGACAGCTGGTCTATCATTCCAATTGATCCGACATTTGCAGATGATCCCTCAACTAAAAAACTCATTTGTAGCAGGAAGCGCTCCTAGATCCAGAAGTTTTTACATTATTTTAGATAGATTAATGTATAAAAAGGCGCAGTCCCGCCCTGATACTCATTTGTAACACTATTAAAGGAAATGACATAAAAGTATGACCCATCCGATAAAAATAGTTTCAGAGATCTGGCATTATATCCTTCATTGTGTGTATCTTTTATAATGAAATCCTCCCATCTACTTTGAACTGCCGGCAATGCATTATATGAGGTCATTAAGGTTGGAATTTACACTCAGCGAGATTATAATGCTGATCAAAGTTTTCAAAACCAGTGTTTTTGTTAAAGTTAAAAGAGAAAGTAGAACTTCTTGTATCTGGACGATCGGGCCTCCCATCTCAAATTCTCCTAAAACATAGTTTTCAGAATATCTGAAAACATACCAGAAAATTATTGGTTTACATCGCTAGTGTCCCCTGGCAAAATCATTTTGCCCCTACAAACCCTACAAACGTTCGAAAAAAACTGTCATGCTAGGGTAGTAGGGTATGAAGTATCTTCGTTCGAGTATCTGATCAATGTTATAATATTTTTTTTTAGCTTTATTTAAGGTACTGTATTGAGAAGGTGGGAATTTCTCATATAATATCCGAAATAAAAAAAATTCATATGTTTTTTATATTTTGATTGCGAGATTACACGTTTCAAAAAACTTTGATAACACAATATAAAAAATTTTTTTTTATTTTCAAATAAATGAACTGGTATTGATCTTTATTATAATACATAACGTTTTACTAATATAAATATACAGTATATACAATTTCACATGTATCAAAACAAAACGCGAAAACAAGTATTTTTTCTTTTCCTTAAGTTTACCTAACCTTCCTAAAACAAATATATGTGCACGCAAACAAATAAAAGGGAAGAAAGAAAGTTCCTTACCGAATGACTTAGAAAATAACGGAACCAAAAGCAAAGAATCCACGAACCTACAAAAGGCAAACCAACCTACAAAAAGCAAACAACCCTACAAAAAGCAAACCCTACAAAAAGCAAACAACCCTACAAAAAGCAGAAAATTACGGAACAGCAAACTTACAAAAATAACGGAACTTACACAAAAAACAAACCTAAAACCTAAACCGAAAATCGAAGAGCGGACGACCAGCCTAACCGACTAATAAAGTAAGGAGGTGGGGTAGGGTAGAGTAAAGTAAAAAAAATTTTTGATTAATAACATGTCATATAAGAATAGAACTATCAAAAAAAACGGCTCTGATATTTTTATTATTTCGCGTGTACATATATTTGTTGGGAAGTTGCAGAACGAAAAAATTTTAGTAGAATCTTTAAATATCCGAGATAAAAAAATTTTGGGGTAAAGAAATTTTGGGGTATAAACATGCACGAATTTCACGTGATAAATTTATTAGGATATTGAAAAGTCTATCTTCAGGTAAGATTAATTACCTTATATAGTAATATATAACCTGTGATATTTGACCTAATAAGTCTATATAATAAAAAGGAACTTATTTTCATATTTTTAACTTAATACAAATATAAAATTCATACTTTTGTATATAAAAAATTGTTAATGTTACAATTTAACAGGTTGAGAAGTTATTGAATTTTAATAATAATATAAAAATGTTTATTAATCATTTTAAATAAGCAATTACAGAAACTAATTAACATTTTTTTATAAAATATCATTGTTCTATAAAAAATTTGCATAATTTTTCATTATTTATATAAATTTTATATAAATTTTTAAAAATTTTGTATTATATTTTCTTATATTTTATAAAGAATTATTTTTTATTAAAATATTAAAAATATTTATATATATAGTAAAAGAATTTATAAATTTCTTTTTTAACATGTTAGCTAATCTGCTAAATGGAAAAAATTCTAAAAATAGATCAATAAAAATAAATATGATTTATATTATTATTATTTCATTTTTGAGTAAATATTTTAATACAGAATTTTTTAATGATATAAAATTTTAAGTTTAAATAATTTGAGATAAAATATAAATAGTAATATAGAAAATATAAAGTGTAATATTCAAATTAAAGAATATTACATACCCTTTAAACAATAATATTTTGTATTAAAAACATATAAATCAAAAAAATACAAAATATAGTTTTAGTTATGTTATTATAAAAGAAGATATTAATTATCCTAACAAAGTTGTTATCAAAACAAATAATAAGTAAAAAGAAAGAACTGAAAATTTTCAGAATATCAATAATATTAAAAGAAAAAAAACAAATTCAAATATCAAGAAATTCTTATTAAAAATTATATTAGTTAAAATAATACAATTCGACCAAAAATCAGATATCTGAATTATATATAAATTTAGGCTAATTTGTGTCTAAAATATAGCTGAATTGTAATAAATTTGGTCTAATTCCTATTAGCATAATTCAGCCAGAATTCAGATACAATTCAGCCAAAAATCATTATAATTCAACCACTTAAAATCAACCAAAAATCACAAATTGAAACTAATATAATAAATTTAAATTTAAATTTTATTATTTTACATAATTGTTAAATTTAAATTCCTTAAAAAGAAAAACTTTGCAATATATATAAAAAATAAAGTAAAATAAAGAAATGAGTTAAAAATTTCACATTTGATTAACTTATCATAGTGTATTTCTAAAAAAAATAAGAAAAAAAGAAAGAAAAATGATAAATTTTCACCCAAAAAATCACTAACAATTGCTTACCTTAATTTTAAAATGAGAAATTTCCTAAAAAAATAAAAAAAGGAAAATGATAAATTTTCATCCAAAAAGTCACTAACAATTTGCTTACCTTAAGAAATTTCTTAAAAAAAATAAGAAAATAAAAGAAAAATGATAAATTTTCACCCAAAAAGTTACTAACAATTTCAACAATTTGCTTATCTTAAAAAATTTCCAAAAAAAAATAATAAATAGAAAGGAAAATAATAAATATTCACCCAAAAAGTTACTAATAATTGCTTACCTTAATTTTAAAATAAGAAATTTCCTAAAAAAAAAAAAGGACAATGATAAATTTTCATCTAAAAAGTTACTAACAATTTACTTACTTTAATTCTAAAATGAGAAATTTTTTAAAAAAAAAGTAAAAGAAGGGAAAATCCACTTAAAGTTACTTTTGATTTACATTTCTTATTTTAAAAATAATAAATTTCTTAAAAAAATAAAAAAAAAAAAATCTGTCCTAAAACTTGTTTCTGATTTACTTATCTTTTTTCCCTACAAAAATAAGAAAAAAAAAGGAAAACTGATTTACTTATTATATTTCCAAATGAAAATTTTCCTACAAAAATAAGAAAAAGAAAGAAAAATCTATTCAAAAACTTGTTTCTAATTTATTTATCTTATTTTTAAAATGAAAATTTTTCTAAAAAAATAAGAAAAAATAAGAAAAATAGTAAAATTTTACTTAAAAAATGAATTACTATATTTCTAAAATGAGAATTTTCCTAAAAAAATAGTAAAAATCTTTAAGCTAAGAAAAAAATATAGAAAAAAAAAGATTAAAAAAGGAAATTTTTTTTAGATTAATCTGAAAGTTTTCAATTAATCCAAATTTATTTATAATTGTTCTAGCTAATTGGATGATTTTAGTATTGCTAATTGAAATATCGTTTCTATTGAATGATTTGTATCATTTCTTAATAAATAATAATTTGATTATTCTAATCAGATGACTTTTCATCATCTGATTAGAATGATGATGTATGTATTGTCTCAAAGAGATGACAATTTGATCATTTCAAAAGGAATGATTTTTTATTATTCTTATAGAATAATCATCATTTCAAAGGAATGATAATGTATCCCTAAAGTGATAATTTTATAAATCATTCAATAAGAATGATGATGTATCGTCTCCTTGAGATGATTTTTTTGATTGTTCTTATTGAATGATAACTTATCATCTCAAAGTGATGATTTTTTAAATTGTTTAATAAGAATGATAATCTATCTTTCAAAGAGACAATTTTTTTAATTGTTCTTAATGAACAATCGATTTATCATTCCTTAGAATGATTTTTTAATTATTATTAATAAATAATAATCTATTATCCTTTTAAGACGATTTTTTTGATTATTCAATAAGAAATAATTTATTATCTCAAAAGGATTAATCTAGCATCCCAAATTGATGATTTTTAATTGTTCTTATTGAATGATAATTTATAATTCTAAAGGAATGATTTTTTAAATCATTCAATAAGAATAATAATTTATCATCTCAAAGGGATAATTTTTTAAATCGTTCAATAAGAACAATAATTCATCATTCTAAAAGAATGATTTTTTTTAATTATTCTTAATAAATGATCGATCTATTATTCTTTTAGAATGATTTTTTAAATTGTTCAATAAGAATGATAATATATCGTCTCAAAGGGTTAATTTTTTGATGGTCTATCATCCCTTTGGAATGATTTTTTAATTGTTTCTATCAGATTTACATCATCCAATTAGAACAATATTGAATCATCCTAAAGGGATAATGATTATATTATTCTATTTAAAATAATTGTTTACTATTATATCTTTGGGATAATTTTTCCAATCAAACAATTTTTGCATTATCCTATTAAACCAATCAGAGTTGATTTTTGACTCAACTCCAATCTATCATAAATTGGTTATAAATACAATAGCTGATTTTTGACTGATTTCTAAATTTAGTCTAAATTGCCAATAAATGACAAATAGTGATTTTTTGATTTGACCAGTATTGATTGTTGTATAATATTATTTATTATGTAAAAATTTTATTTTTAATAAACAAATTGTAATTACTGATTATATAATAAAATTATTAAATTTTTATTAGTTGATATTAAGGTTGCTAGACGAAATCAAGAGTTTAGACAGATGTCTAAATAGTAAAAATAAAACTTGGTTAAATTATATTAAAACCTTATTAAAAAATCTGCGAAATTTGAAAAAAGGTAAAACTATATCAAAGCTTATAAAAATGGCGAAACTATATCAAACACTTAGTAAAAATTTAGTGAAACTAAAGGTTTAACTATTTTGCTAAATCCAAATAAGTTTAGACAAGCAACCTTAGTTGATATAAAAAGAATGAATTGAAAAAATTATAGAATTTGAAGAATCAGATTTTATAAATTTTGAAATTATATAAGAAGTTATTAATATAATGAGATTAGGTATTTGTTATAATATAAAAAAATATTTCATATTATCTTATTTCATAACTACAAAAACAAAAAAAAATTTAAAATTTATTATTTATTTATGCATTTCTGGTAATAAACAAAATGTAAAAAGGAAAATTAAACAAATTATAATAATTTTTATAATTTTAAATCATAAAAATTAACATCATTATACAGATTATAATTATACTATAGCATTTATTCAAAAACTAAAATTTATGATATACTTAAATTTATGTTAGATCTATTTTGTAATAAATTATGATTATTTAAAAAATTTGAATTAAAAATATCTGAAACATTATAAAAATTTGAATTATATTTTAATTCAGATTGAAATTCTTAGCTATTTATTTTGGATTAAATAAAATAAATTCTAAATATTTTTATTTTTGGTAATATTACTCTAGTAAAAATGAGATATAATAAATCACGTGATTAAAAATGTGATACAAAAGTATGATTAAATATTTATCATCAAAGAAATCAAAGCAAGTGATCTTATAATAAAAATATAATCATAAATTGTAATGTTAATCAATGAAATTTGTATTATGTGATATAATATGTTTCTAAAAATTAGAAGATATTATATCATAATTAAGATATTAGTAATTTTTGTTTAATCATAATTAGTATCTATATAATGAAATATGTAGTAATAATTGTGAAATGATTAAGTAGTTAAAGGTAATTTTTATGTAATAATTATTTAATATATATGTGATTTTAGATCAATTCAAAATGTATAAATAAGACAGTTGGGATTTTAAACAAATATCTTAGAGTAATTAATTTAAGAGAAATATAATATAAAAAATTAGCAATAATGATTATTTAATTACTTATAATACTATAATCTTTAATAAAACACTTTCTTTTATACTTAATA